GTAGTAGTATTAGTAGTAGTAATAGTCGTAGTAGGAGTAGAATGCTGAAAATGTTCACAGTGAATACCACCCCTCTCTCCCCTTCCCCTTAGCCTCTGTGTTGTGCATCTAGCATAATAATAATTCTGTTCCCCCCAAAAAAAAGAACAAAACATATATAATAATGCAGCCCCCCCGCCCGCCCTCCCCCTCTCCTTGCCTTTTGTGCATAGTAGTAGTAGTAGTAGTAGTAGTAGTAGTAGTCGTGGTAGCAGCAGCAGCAGCAGTAGCAGTAGTCTACGTAGGAGATGTCGTATTATATGTTGCATGTAGTATGCAAGATGTGGTGCTGTCATTGAGCAAGTCGAGCTGGTTGTGGTGGAGATGTTGATGGTGCTAGGGTGGTGATGGGGGCTGTGGTAGCAGCAGCAGCAGCAGCAGCAGCAGTAGCAGAGGTGGCGGCATTAAGTGCAGCAGTCGCTGTCGTTTCTAATCACGCTGTCGACGCTGTCGTCATCAATGCGCGCGTTACTGTTGCTGCTGCTACTGCCGGTTCTTCTTCTGCGGCTGTGCGGCTGCTGGCAGCTGTTGCTGCAGCTGTCGTTGCCGCTGTGACTATTACTGTTGCTGCCATGGTGGTTCCATCTCTTGCCTTCGCTCTTACTGTTGTTGCTTCTGTTGTTGCAGGTGACGCTGCAACCGGTCTCTGTCCCGTCCATACTGCCGGCGTTCTGGAAGTCGAAATCATGTCAAGACTGCCATGGACAAGGCAAGCGGCAAAACGCCTCAACACTACATACTGAGCTCGAAGCCAGGACAATCAGGCGAATGCCGACAGTCGACATGGCCAAGGCATAGTCCTGCATCAGCAGCTTGTAAACACATGCATGTTCGTTTGCTTGCAGAAGTGCAAGCGATGTGCATGGACAACAAGCAGAAACAAACCTCCTCCATTGGATGAACTACTTTCCTGATTCAAAGCTGATACCGCGACAGTTAAAGGTTGACTGAGCCTCTCAATATTGTAATGAGCCGACATTTGTGTAAGACCATGTTCGTACCAGAGGTGTCTATTGCTGCTGTTGCGACCACTATCATATTACTTATGCTTGTAGCAGAGAAGCCAGCCGATTGCCGACAGAAGATTGGGCACTTTTCTGGGGCTTACAGTGTTTCCGGCTCGACACAGGTCGTAGCATCCCCCGTCCACAAAACCCAACATTTTTGTTCCGAAACTGATTCCCATGTTCAAAGAATCAAAAAACTCGCGGCCCTCAGCTGGGTCACCTGCCTTCAGCACCCACAGGTAGCCTTAACAGTCCACAGCATGAACCAGAAGCTCTGTCCACGACGGGCATTGCAGAACAATTGATCTTGTGATTGCTTTGCGCCTCACCTATGTAGCTAAGACGAGCCCGCGGTGTAGGGTACGATCTGGGAGCTCGTCCTAGGGGGATCTTGTGATTCGGTGAATCATGCGTTGAAAGCTCCTTTCTGTCTAGCACTTGATTGACGGCACGCCCGTCGCTTGCCAGTGGCAACCTCAAGATGATTGAATCTTGAGAATGGATTTCCGTGGAGTACATGTCTGGCAGCTTGGTTTAAGCCGTCACCTTCGGACAATCCGGGATGGGTCGGCCAGGTCTGCTGAACAACGAAACGCAGTTTCGACTCTCACAGCTTGAGGCGTTGCGGTCCAGTCGATCAGGTCTCAAGACAGCAAGTAGATTCTGAAAGCTCGGGCGAGCAACTAAATACAGCCGCCAGCGCAGCCTGATACTCGGAGACCCACGAAAGAACATGTACACACAGGCCCCCCACTATCCAAGCAGTCAAGGCACCGTGAGAAATGCAGATTCCCGCCGTGGCTGCCTTGCGACTAGACCCCTGATGTTGAAAGGGGGAGGGGTCAATCAGAAATGTTGCCTGCTCCTCTGGTTTCTACACTACCCGCCGAATTTCCACTGATTTGCTCTTTGGCTTCCCAGGATGGGACTCTATCTCTGTCTCTCAGCCTCGAAGCTTCAACTTGCACTCAATCGGAACACTACAGCCTCTGTGCACTGGCGATTCAAGGCTAGAGGAGCCTTTCTGGAAGACAAATCCTGCAGACCTGACCCTGGGCCCTGCACATCCAGGACTGCCATGCATAGCATCTCACAGCATCAGCAGACACCACCAGCCCTCCCGGGGATTGGGGAACTTCGTAACTGGGCCCGCAAGTCGAGTTATAGCAATGGGCGCGAATCTTAAAGACAAATACAGACGTCTAAAGCCTCGCTTCATCGTAGAAGTTCCCTCCGTCCTCCACGCAGGTGCTTCAGTCAAGCCTGGTGCTCGAAAAGCTGAGAGCTCTCAGAACCCTGGTGTCGCAGTCCCGAGGTCGCTTCCCCCCCAAAACAAACGGTTTAGGGTTTAGGGTTTAGGGTTTAGGGTTTAGGGTTTAGGGCCCAAAACCAAACGGTTTCGACGCTCCTTTGGCTCAAGTTCTTCGACCTCTTGGGGTCCGAACCTGGAGGCCTCCGACCCAAAGGTCACCCAAAGCTCGGCGCTCGCGCTCGAAAACCCAGGAATCAGACTTCACATGGGGGTTTCCGAAAATAAGGGGTACCTTATTTTGGGGTCCTTATAATAAGGATCCTACTATTTAGAGTACTATATTAGGGTCCCCTATTTTCGGAAACCCCCACATCAGGGTCGAACAACGTGCACTCCGTAGCTGCTTTTGCGCGGCCGCAGCTGTTTTGGGTCCCAACATTCTCGGCTGGCTGTACCAGGAGCACTCAGACATCGACACCTGTGCTTTCGGCCTCAAGTTTGCTGAAGTGAAGTGTACAATAAACACATGCTACAGTACGACAATAAACTCGTCTTAAGGGCTTCCTTTGTCAACACAATCATACAGGCAGAAGTGTTCCCTTGCCCAACTTGCGAAGAACTGCATCTGTGACATGACAGTCTGGCACGAGCCTCCTGGAGGATGATGCTTGGCTCAGCTTACAGTAGGGCGGAAAGTTGGAACATGAGTATCCCCTTGCCCAATCGAGGTATATTAAGGTCGCGTGTAGAGAACCCACGCACACATCGTTTTTGTTCCATGTTCCAACTTTCTGGAACCTACCGTATAAAGCCGAAAACGAAGGACTTCCGCAGCTCTCGGCATCAACAAAGTACTTCTGTGTTGCGTACCACAGCTGATCGTTCTGCATGAGACTGAGAGCGCCACATCCTCTTTCGTACTACGCTTTTTCAATGCTGCCGCTGTGCTTGGAGGCCATAACAACGTGCAGTCATGCCACAGGTTGCATAAAAAGCCTAGTATTGACAACATTGTCATAATATGTATAATATTAACCATACACCAATAATACTACAGTTATACTACAGTTATACCTGTGGACCAACGGCCGGACAAGAATGTTAAACCCGGGACCCCGAACCGATACCCCAAGCGCCGGGTTCACAAAGACTGCTCAGCTGATGCTCCCATATGCCTACTTGAAGGTTCATGGGTAGTTATAAGTGGGGTTATAAGTAGGGTAGCTGTAATTATAACCCATATTAGGGGACTTATAACTCCACTTATAACTAACCATGAACCTCCAAGTAGCGGCGCTCCATGCACATCACACGAAGACGCACGAGACCAAGGGCTGGGGGCAAAAACATGTCAATGTAAAGACTAAAGACGATTACGCAAAGGTGCTTCCAGAAATTTGGGGTCCCTTTTCTTGGTTGCGACTTTTATTGAGGCCGAGGGTTTTTGCTGCCTATATGGGCCCCTGTTCTCCGAAACTTTTGACTAACGATGGGGCTGCGTCCAGCTCTTCGTCGCTTCTTGCAAAGCCTTCACCTTACAAGGTGCAGTCTACATGCTGACACTCACTTATGGTCCCCACGCAGTCCTACCTTCTGCGTCGCAAGTCCAACAGCAGTGGTTCCACAGCGATTCCCGAGAATCGCAGCAGCCACCAGAAGTGGAAAAATAGGGACACGCTAGTCCTCGCAAGCCTCCTCCCTCTCTCTCGGCCCATCGGCGGCAAGCAGTGGCAGTCCTCGAAGCAGTACACAGTCGAAGCCGTCGACCAAATCGTGCTCTTGCCGGCGCCTTTCAACCGCCTGTACGAACGCCTCGGGCCTCCGACTCACGGTATTCAGATAAAGGTTGAGCTGCGCCATTCGGAGCTGATGGAATGCATTGTCACATTGTGCTGGAAGCACGCCTTGTGGGAGCACTTTTGTAGATGCAGAAGGCATGCAGCTGCCGCCGCTGCCCATTCTGTCGCAGTCTCGCCAAGCCACGGGCAACTGGCGTCTAGACTGAAAGTTGAGCCCCCGGCTACGATGTCGTATTAACAGCTTAGAGGCCCGAACAGCCTGGATACCATCTGTCGTGGTGTCATGCAGGAATCTTACGATCCTGACGACCTGCCCTGCGAGAGAGGCAAGATACCACATAATTGGAAGTCTTTTAGAGAGTTACATACAACAAGCACGACATGATGTCGAACATTGCAACACCGCAGTTGAGGTCTTCGTGTCAACATGCGCTAACGAGCCTTCTCCCTAAACCCTCCACACCTGGACTCTGGCAGGAGGCCATAATTCATAACAGTGCAAAGTAAAGAAGCCGTCAAAAACCAGACGACGGGACCGACCCCTCCGTGCAGCATAGACGCAACCAGCAGTGGCACAATCATACGTTTGAGGACCACGTAGATGCGAACCTCTGCAGCCTGTGGACACGCGAATCGGGAAGGGAGTGGGATTTGGGGCCTCAACTTCTTCGCTTCCTACTCACAGCAAGGCAGCCAATGACAGCAGGAAAAACCTTGATAGGCTGACACAGCTCAGCATGCACGTAAAAGACTTATAATATACCTAGAGCAGTTGACTAAAGCATGCTTTGTACCCTAGCCCTAGCATGGAAGACCAAGTATTCAAGGACAGCACCGAGTATCCTAGTAAGCGGGCTCCGGCTGAAGACAAACCACCCGACCGGTCAGATGAAACATATCCGAACTTCTGGGGTTTACGGTTTTGGGTGCCGACCTCTGGATGCAACTTCAGTTTCATCCTGACTGAGCTTGACAATTCCAACCTGATGAATCTAGGGATCAGAAGTCCAGCTAGGCAGGTAGTGTGTCTTTGCAGTGATGCAGGGCCTTAATAATTAGAATAGGGTTTTGGGGTAAACTATACTATAATTCTAACAAGGAACCCCCCAAAATAGTATAGGTAATTATCTAGGCTTCTATATTAGGGTGCCTTTGCAGTACTTGCTGGAACAGGAGTTGATGGGGGTATGTCGTGGAATCGCGTAACTTCTTAGGGTTTAGGGTTTAAACAGAAACCCTGACCACTTGGGAAAACAAGACTCGGGCTACAAAGGAAAGACGTGGACACATGCGAAAGAAAGGTGCTTTCAGGCCCTTCAGGCTTAGACTTTGGGGGAACCCTTGAAGCTTGAAGGAACCCATAAAGGACCCTAAAACCCTAAACCCTAAACCCTAAACCCTATACCCCATAAAGGACCCTAAAACCCTAAATGCTAAGGTACCCTAGAGGAACCCTTAGAGTCTTGCCGCGAAAGGGCGCGCAAAATAGGTCGAATCTTTCCCTTTGTGGCCCCGGGCCAGGGCGGATTTCCATGGGGTAGGAACCAGATTTCAGGCAAACCAAGGGTTTAGGTTTTAGGGAACACCTGAAATGTTTTGCGCTGTGCAAGCTTCCTCAAGTAATTAAGTCTTCAAGCTTGCTCAAACCAGCAACAACCATAATCAATAAGTGTCTTCCAAAACTATCGCAGCAGGGATTGCAGTCTTCACTACTCCAGGAAATCTGTTGAACCTCCTTCGCGTGGTACGCGAAGAGGTGGTTCATCAGTTGCATCTCCATGGGCCTTTGGTGTTGAGTTGAGGGCTTCAGAAATGGTGGATTCATTGCGACATTTTGAGAGCTCAACATGAGGAACCGGACCCTTAAACATTATCTTCAAAGAACTCCGACCGAAGGCCAGAACCAGCATTAGCCACTCACTTAACTTATTCAGAAGTCCAGTGCATATCCCAATGCTGCAAGAAACCCCTGCTCGGTGGAGTTTGAGGCTCATGGTTTCGACTGACAGCTTGCCGGACTTCGCCTGTTTCCACACCGCGCATCAACCAACAGGACGCCCGAGGCAAAAATCCAGCGGCTAGCTTGCGAGCTTAGGGTGCGACATTGACACTACCCAAACCCTAACCCAAAGGCAAGGAGACTCGCAGCTTCCAATTTGCACTCCACATTGAAAACCTAACCGAACGATCGTGAAGCTCTGATGGCCAGCCATGATCGCAATGCGTCAGCAACGAGATGAACGGACATACGGGGCTCAGGCAGAGTCGGTAGCAGCTTGTAGCTATGAAAAAGGTTTTGTACCTAGCAAGACCACTGCTACTCAGACTCCTCGTTGTGCTAAGAAGCTATCATCAAATCGAAGTGGAAGCCAAACGACATGATGCTGGTGCTGCCAACGATTATGACATTTTTAGATTTTTGGTCGTTCCAGCAAGAGACGACTGGAACCCGTGAGGACAGCAATGAACACCTGAGCGTATCTCTAGCCCTCTCAAGCAGAATGAACAGAGTCCGCAATGCAAACGATGATGACCACACAAACCCGGACCGGGCTGAGCTTTTGGCACACAAAGGTTGCTCAGCTGAAAAGGGATCGTCTCCGTGGCATAGTCCGCCACCTCGGTTCAAGATGTTTAGCCTGCTGCGAGTATTTCTCCCAGTATAGATCTCTGACGCATTGTTGGTCTTTGGCTTTCGCGACTAGACTAAAATGTGCGGGCTGGGTGCCTTTCTGACAAGACTGCCCGCTCGCCGCAACAAGGTTTCCAATATCTATCCGGATAGAAACTGGAAACTGCAACCCCGACCCCCCCCCCCCGCCCGCCACCGCCAACCCACCCCTGCGAGTTGTGAGTAACATGTCGGGGCCATGTAGTCAAGGGAGTGGCTTGGCTGGGGCGCGATACTGTCTGATTGTTACTATGGTAATTTACGCTTATTATGAATACCCTCGCTATGATTATTGCTATTCTTAACTTGAATGCATGATGCTGAACCGGCATCCGGCAAGGCTGATAAGAGAAGAATAGACAGGCAGAACACAACTGAAGCTGCGGTTGCACGGCCAGTGGCCCAACAGGGTGTGTGCAGAACAGAAACAGAGAACAATGCTCTGATACTCATCTCGCCTGTTTCCCAACCCGTACTGAAGCAGCAATTATGTATGGATCACGAACCATTACACTATATCTCAAAGATCAAGCCCGACCGAGAACCTCGGCGTCCACAGCCGTCTCGTTGTCGTAGCCTCCGGCAGCGAGCCAAAACCCGCAAAGCGCCCAAAGCCCGCGAGATGAACATTTGAAAGAGCCACAAACTCCGGGATTAGGGTTTAAGGGTTTAGGGTTTACGAGTTTAGGGTTTAAGGGTTTAGGGGTTTAGGGGGTTAGCAAAAACGGGTTTAGGGTTGTTTAGGGGTTTAGGGCTTAAGGGTTTAGGGTTTAGGGCCTCAGAGCCTGATGCAATGCGAAGGACTTTAGACTTGAATAGCTTGGGCCTTTCGCTTCAAGGTTTAGGGCGGCCCTAAACCCTCAACCCTACTTGTAAGTGAGGCTACAAGCAGGGTAACTGTATTTTATAACCCATATTAGGGGAGTTAGAACTCCACTTATAACTACCCATGAACCTCCAAGTATAAGCCCTACTTGGAGGTTATTGGTTAGTTAGTTATAAGTGGAGTTATAAGTCCCTTCGTATGGGTTATAACTATAGTTACCCTACTTATAACCCCACTTCTAACTACCCATGAACCTCCAAGTAAGAATCCTAAAGACCCTAAAAGGACAGGTAAGGAGCGCGACGGCTTCTCCCGGCAGCGGTACTTGGATCGGTTGGATGCGGGGCAGGACTCCCGGCCTTTGCTTGTAGAGCCCTACCTACAGTCTCCATTGTAGTTCCTTTTTTGTTCAACCACGTATATAGTAAGGATTTTATAAGGTATCCCCAAAAAGGAACTACAATGGAGACTATAGCTAACCCTCCAGGTACCTACTTTGCAAGGCCCTCGGGGCTCTAGTACCCTAAAGAGTAGGTACCTTGTGGGGTTAGGGGAGTAGAGCCCTTACTAACCCTCCGGGCACCTACTATATAGGGCCCTAGCGGCTCTAGTACCCTATATAGTAGGTGCCTGGAGGGGTATATAGGGGAGTATAGCAATTTGATCAGGGTTTAGGGTTGACGCTCTCACAGCTCGGACATTCCAGGCGAGGTTCCGTAGTAGAGGGTCGGCGTGATACAGACAGATGGTTGGGTTTAGGGTTTAGGGTTGAGGGTTTAGGGATTGGATTAGGGTGATGCAAAAGCCTTGGAGGGTTGCGGCTTATAAGGCTTCTACAGTAGGATGTTTCGGGCGAGAGAGTGCGAGAGTGAATCGGATCAGATTTCTTTCGGAGGATCCTTTGTTGCAAAGTGGCGGCCGGCGGGCTGCAACCAGACTGCTACTGGTATTTCGGATCGGCTGCCGGGGCGTAGCTAACCCCGAAAACCCTGAAACTCAAAACTTCCACGGATCTTGAAGGTTTTTTTGGGGGTTTACACTCTCACAACTCGGACAAGCGGTTTTTTGGGGGTTTAGGGTTTAGGGTTCTCGGACGAGGCTGACGTGGTGTAGCTTAAGCTGCTCGCATCACTGACACACACACACACGCACGCACGGCGCACGGGTTGGTAAACCAAAATCGTAGGTATGCACAGCGCTGCAAGGACAGCATGCGTGCATGAGTTCGCTCACTTGTGGTACATAATAAGAACATACAAGGGGCACTTATGGTTGTATACACACGTAAACCTTGACAAATGCCTATCTGCCTAAAGTATCTACAGTACGTGTTTATTTGCTTTGCATTTGTAACCGTTGTATATAGACACAAGATGGTAGAAGCCTAAACGTGCCATCTTTATACGACTGATGTTTGTGCTGTTGCTTGTCTGGGTCACGCTAAATCCTGCTCTCTCACAAAGCCCTCCTTTCAGCGCTCGGACTTGGACCCTAGATCGACGGAGGTCAGACACTGCAACAAGAAGACTTCGCCCAAAATACCCGAAACAAGGACTCTCGAAGCATAACTTAGGCCCGATATTCGTCTGCAACCACCGATTTTCAATGTAGGCAGGAGTCACACCGTAAAGGCGGTCTGCAAGCCGTTCAAGTTCACGGAGCACACGTAGGCCTCGGAGCTCGATCTAAGAAGCCTAGAGCTCAAGCATTGCCACAGTTACTCCGACCCCCCCTTAAGAAAACAAAAAACACACCAGGGAAGCCTGAGTCTCGGATATAAATAAATAAATACATATATATATATATATATATATTCTGTCACCCTATATTATATTATACCTGTATATTAATACTATATATATATATATATATTATATATATATATATATATATGTGTGTGTCTGTGTGTGTGTGTGTCTGTGTGTTCTGAGATAGGGTGACGTGCTCGCAGCCAGGATGCCATGGGCGTGTCCACGGTTTTCCCAATGCCGCAAACCGTCCCCTGAGCAGGGACTTCGGCTTCTCACGATGAGGGCCAAGTGGGCCCCAGACAGGTAATGGGCTCCACCTAGCACCTCGAGTCTCGAGATCTTGCTTGAAGATTCGTCTGGGTCGCAGAAGACTCGACACTTGACACTTAAATACCTACATACATATACATATATAAATATACGCATATATTTGTATATATATATATATGTATATGTATACAATATGTATCGATATCGACATCGAGTCGGAGGACTGTCCGGGAGCACCAGTTTTGGCCGTGGGATTTGCTGTTCGGTACCGCCTTGAAGCTTCTCCCCGTGTATTTTGACGTTTCGGAGAATTTCAAGATGCTGTGGTGGGGTTCTGACTCCCAGCACTCAACAATACTGAGACATGCAATATCTGATATGGTTACACTATGTTGCACTCGTACACAACATCCGTTGCCGGTAGGAGTCCCGCCACAACCCCCCCTCAGCACACCTCTGCGCAGAAAAGTCTTTCTTTGTAAAGCGCTAACCGCTAACGTGGCATCGGGTAGTGGGTCACGAGGTCGATTGTTCAATAGCATGTAAAAGCCGGCCACGAACTATACGCATGCCATAGGCATGCAAGTGAGCGACTTGTACAGCTGTACAAAACCACACATTTAAAAGCTGTGTATGGCAAGATAAATATTCCCAAGAAGACCCGCATAATCGCAGACGTGCTGCGTCACAGAAACAGTAACAACAAATACACGAACAGGTCCGACAGCATAATTAGTCGCCAAAAAGGATATACCATTACGGCATTGGAGGCTAACTCAAATTACGGTTCCCTAAGTAACCCCTTAACAATGAGGGTACTCGTTTTCCCTTTTTCGATGTTAACAAGGAGACCCAAGAGTTCAAGGGCACAAGGCTACGACTGGGGAACCTAGTATAATTGTTTAAAAACGAGGCGCGAAGAAGATAGCAAATAAAGCTAAAGCCCGCACGTGGCCCTTTCAATACGGGCCTCATAGTCCGACAAGCGAAGCAGAGGGGATGATTTGGAATACCACCTTGCCAGTGAAGCAAAAAGCTTCAGTGTCAGCCTAGATGTGAAGAGTTGCAGAATTGATGGTCTTTAACATGCATTAGCATCCAGAGGCCGCAAGGTCTTGTGCCGAACCCGGGCAAGAGCCATGCATAGCACGTGCCGGCTTGCAGGTCTTGACGGTTCTCGCTCCATTATTGAAGCCGCCTATGGCCGCTTCATACCGCTAAGTCGATGAAGGGATGAGTAGTCAAAACTAGCACAACAGCAGCAGAGCTCCCTCTCCCACCCTCTCAACTCCAAGATGCCCAGCTACTGGCTTGGAGGTAAGGGTAAGGTGGGGGAGGGGTTCTTAAACTCGGCCCTGGTACAGCTGTTCTTCCTGCACTCTTTCACGAGGTACTGCAGAAGAATATCCACGGCCACAGAAACCGCGATTTGGAGAACAATGCCAAGCCCTCAAACCTCAACTGCCCATCCAGGTCAAGGACTCCGTCAAAGCCAAGGCACAGGCAAACAGCGACCAGCGCTGTTTGCAGTATGGCATAAGTGACGAGCCAGGCAACCTGCAGTACGCAGAGTAGGTTGGA